CCCTGGCCGGGGACTGGGAATGGCGGTGGGGAGGGGCTTCCTTAAAGCCGGGGGCAGGGCCGGGCCGGTGTCTGTCTCCGGAGAAAGGCCAGCTCAGGGCCGGGCTGAAGACCCAGGGTCGCTGGCCAGGGGACGGGGCCGGGCGGTGGGCCAGCTGTGACTCAGTCGGGACCCCCACGTCTAAGGGAGACCGGCAGGCGGGCCGCAGGAGTGAAACTGGGGTTTTCTTGTCTTTCTGACGCCAGGAAGCCTCCCGGGCTGCAGTCAGGAGCCACGGTGTCCTCTGCGGAAAATAGAGACCCCTGGCACCTCCCCGAGGGTTAAGTTTAGGCTTCCCCTCATTGGGCTCCTGTCCCGCCCCTGTTGCCGAGTTCCAGTGATTCAGGGTTTGTTCCTTATTTTTCTCTGCGAGTGGTTATGTAACGTGAGTGCTTTTCAAAGGCTCCAATTGACCATGGCTCTCTGGTCACCAACCCCCCACCGCGATACCAGGAATTGCCCGTTGGGCGGTGTTGAGGTTTTGCGCAAAGCCAGTCCATCTGGAGACACCTCCCCGGGCCTCCCACCGGCGCTGGGCAGGGCCCCCGCTGCCGCAGGCAGGCGAGACCCACACCCTTTGCCCACAGGTCAGACACAGGTCAGGCTGAGTCGTGTGGGCAGCTTCCCCGAGCTGGTGACTGGGGGTGGACGGGCGGGGGAGACGGGCAGGGCGGGGGTCCGCATGGGAACCTGTGGGACCCTCCGTGCAGGCAGAGGCCGCCTCTCCCGGCTCTCCCGGGATCGCAGTGGGTGTCTGCTGGGACCCGCCTGACATCTGTACGGACGACTTGGGTGCTTAAGATCGAGGGTCCTTTGAAACTGCTCGAGAGCCCGGAGGGTCAGCGCTCAGAAGCTGAGGGAGACAGCGGTCAGACAGAAAGCCACAGGCGCAGCCAGGGCGTAGCCTCCTCCTCGCGAATGGCACGCCTGTCCCCTGCCCTGGGTGTCGCCCAAGGTCAGGAGGCCTCTGTCCCCAGTCCCTGAGCTTCAAGGGCAGCGGAGCAGATTTGGTGGCTCAGGAGCAGAAAAGGTTCTTTTCGTGACTGGTCGTCGGAGAGGGGGTTCTACCGTACCCTCGACGCGGCAGTGCCCCTCTACAGGGCTCCGGACCCCACCGGCTACTTCGCTCGACAGACAAAAACTGGAGGATGTGGATGCTGAAAGGCACCTCCTGAAACTACCCAGTTGAACCCTCTCACGTGACAGGCGCGAGGCTGACTTCGGACGCGCCCAAGGTCCCGCAGGTGCTAAACCGCGGGGCTGAGCCGGCCCCGGCTCCACCTCTGCGAACAGGTCGTGTTCAAACCTGCCGAGGGACAAACCTGCTGGGGTACCCTGGCCAGGACCTTCCATCGGCCGTCCCACGGCCCAGGTGGCTCCCGGTGTCTCTGGCACTCGGTGCCCTCAGGTCTGCTCAGCGGGAGTGGAGAACGAAGACCTGGCTACACGTGCCCCTTCCTCGGCAGGAGTCACACGTCCGGTACTGTCACAGCAGCGTCCGACCGTGACCCCGAAATGCGGCCGCCTCTATGTGTGCTCTGTGTTTGGCTGTCCTCGGGCCTCTTTCCGGGGCGCCCCAGCTGCGTCAACAAAGGAGTTTTGTTAAGAGCGAGCGCCAGGAATGCCGACCCGGCAGGACTGCCTCCGGTCCACGCGCCCCAGCCCCTTCGGTCAGCGCTGAGGCATGAGTAAAACGTCCCCGTCCTGCGAGAGCTCCCACGCCGGTTGGTGGTAAACAGCATGACGTCTGTTACCGTATGGAGAAACGTCGGGACGCGTGTCGGGGGGAGCTGCAAACAAGACCCCAACTCTACACAGCGCAGACATACCAGAGTGTGGACTGAGCGCATCGGGTGTTGGGAGACTCGGCACTTTGCTTCCCAGCACAGCGTCTCAATTACTTGTAATTCAGAAGTAACCCTTCAAGAGTAAGTTAGTATCGTCTGCTGCCTTGGGAACAAGGTTGAGCTGTACAAATCCTCACCCACCCTTCCCGTGCCCTGAGGTCTCACCAGGCCGGCTTGTTTGCTCGGTTTTTATGGAAAGTCTTTGTGTTGTCACAGCCTCTGGCATCGAGGTGGTGTTTGTCCCTGGCGCCGAGCACCCCCAGGAGGAGGAAGGGGCTCCGGCTCCGGGGGCGGGACCTCGGTCTAGGGCCCACGGCTGCTGTCGGGTTGTTGGCCCCAGGCCAAGAGGCGTCACCTCTCTGACCCTCAGTGTCTTCCTCTGTACCTGGGTGCCACCTCTTGCCTTCTGCAGCTGTGTGGCTGCTCCGGGGACCCAGTGCGGCCACGACCGGAAGGTGTAAGGGCGGGCCCGTGGCGGGTGAAGGCAGGCGGTGCTTTGACACCCTCCTTCTTCGTGGTCAGCTTTTGACTTCTGCCTGGATTTCGGGCGAGGGGTAGCGAGGGGCGTCCCAGGGGCTGCTTCCAGGGTCAGCGCGCGTGTTGGGAATTTTTCCAAACCTGGGGCTTTTCTCTTTTGTCCCGACGCTTTCCTGGCGGGTGACGCCATCCACCCAAATCCTGAAGCGTCGCTTCCCCAAAGCCCCCGATGCCCCGCTCCAGAGCATGTGGCCAAGGCCTAAAATACAGCGTGTGCACACGGACAGGCCCCGAGTACAAAGCTGGTGGCCTTGGCAGCAGCCACGTCGTCCACGTCTCGTGGCGCCTTGCCCAGACCTGCCCTCCCAGCACCAGGGAGGCCGACTAGCTGACCGACCGGGCGGACGAGGGAGGAGGGGGCGAGGGGTGGATGGCGCCGTGAGGGGCGCATGGGGCTGTGGTGGGCGTGCGGAGCTGAGACAGCGCCGGGGCAGGTTAGGCTCCACGGCCTGGGCCTCCCGGAGCGTCAGCCAGCCTGGGAGGCCTGGTCGCACTTCTCCGACCAGGTAAGGGTCCTGCAGCTGTAGCGAGCGATTCCCCACACCGGCCTCCCAGGTGCGCGCCATTTCCTGGTGAGCGCTGGAGATTAGAATCATGGAATGCGGGGTGGCGGGGCCTTCCAGCAAAAGCCGCCCCGCGTGCCCGGGGACTTTCCTGTGGGGATGCTTGACCGAGCAAAGCCCCAGGGCCCGCGAGTGGGCACGCCAGCGTGCCCGGTGGACCTGATCCTTCCACTCCTGTTGGAAGCGGCTGCAGGGGACCCCCACAGGCGGCCTAAGACGGGGGCGGGCCAGCGTCCTGCTCTCAGCTCTCTCTAGACTGCGTTGACATGAGTCCCTTCGCCGCTGGGGCCTCCGTAGCTGGAGCGTGATGGCCGCTGGGGCTGCCCGGGGAGGCACGAGTGAGTGACTGCGCAAAGGCTACGGGCGTGTGGAGACTGGGGTGCTGAACACACATGGGAGAGCAACGATTATTTCAGACCAGAGAGGGAAGGTCTCGTTGCAATGGGAGGTAAGCGCCCCCCGCTGGCCGGCCCATCAGTGCGCACGGAGCGCCCCGCGCGCCGGGCCCGGGGGAAGGGGGCGCCTTCCCCAGGAGCTGACGCAACCACGTCCGCACACCTGCTGTGCTCCCCGGCAGAGGAATAGTCTCCTTCCCCTTGACAGTGTGAGTCTCCTTGGCGCAGCGACTGCTCAATGGCAGGATGCAGCCAGCCAAGGCCCTCTCGCCGGTGTGGAGACAGAGATTCCGCCTGAGGGCGGGGGCCAGCCAGGGACAATACTCGAACTGGGCTTCGCACGCCCATAGGAGTCCTCGCTGAGCCAGGGCGCGCGGGCTGGGGGGCAGGGCTGGGAGCGGGCGGAGGCGGGCGGGCGGCCGGCGCGGCCGTCGTGCGCGGCCCTGGGCCAGGCCCCGCACTGAGGCTGGGCCGTCCTGGACGGGCTGCTTGGGGAGCGGGTGGAGTGGCCGTGAGTGGGGCATCTGAGCAGCGAGGACAGCGCCCCCAACCAGCCGTGCCTGGGAAAACCACAGAGGGCCTGCCTGCAGTGCACCGCAGGCCTGTGGGGTCCTGTCCCCGGGAGACCCACGCTCCCCGGGAGGTGCCGAGGTGTGGCCAGGCCCTGACTGAGGACACAGACCACCGCCAGAGAGGCTGGGCCCGCCCCCCACCCGAGTGAACACCCGCACAGTGCCCCCGCCCCCGGCCGGGGGTGGGGGCCATGCCCAGGCGGCAGCGCAGTCCCTGGGCTTTTGGGGGACAGGCAGACGCCGATGTCGTGCGCCTCACGTTTTCAGAGTCACTCTTCATAGGGGTTTGGAGGTGGCGTGAAGCAGGGGAGGCTGGAGGACGTGCGCGCTGCCCAGGTAGCCCAGGAGAGAGCTGGGCCGGGGCGGGGGGGGGGCGCAGACCCCCTCCCGGGCAGGGTGGAAGGTACGCAGAAAGCCACCAAGCTTTTGCTGGAATCAGGACACAGATGAGCGCAAAGGGCGTCTCGTGTGCGTGGGCTGGCAGACTTAGCAGGCGGAGGCTCAGGGCGGAGTGGAAAATGACACCTTTGCTGTGGGCGTGGTGGGCCTGTGCGCCCCCCCCGCATGCCACCCCTTCTGGCCACTCTGTCATCGGCGTTGCTGTTCTTTTTGCCACGGGTCCCCAACGAGGACCCCGACATCTTTCCCAGGGAGACACCCGTCCTCGGACACTTCCTCGAGGGTCCACGTCGTGCCATGAGCCACTGTGCTGTCCGTGGGCCACTCGCCGAAGAAGGGCCTCTTCCCTCCACTCCGGCCTCCCCTTGGCTGCCTCCCTTCCTGCCTCCCAGTCCCCGCCTCTCCGTCCTTGCTCCTCCCCCCTCCGCCCCGTGACAGGTGACTGGAGGCAGCAGCTTCCCATTCTGAAGGGAAGGGGGAAAGTGGTCAGGATCTCTGAGGGGGGCTCGCACATCGTCACCCCCTCCCCCCTCCGTGCCCCTCCCGAACGGCTGATGTTGGAGGGGATGAGGAAGGGGGCAGTGGCTGCACATGGCTCCACTGCATGAGGGCCACTGTCGCTGACCACGTGCTCTGTCTCCATCCTAGGACCTGAGCTCCTTCGCCATGCCGCTCCTGGATGGAGACCTGGAGAGTTCAGAAAAGCACTCTTCCCGTAAGGTAAGGCCACGTTTCTCACAGCCCACATGAGGTGCCACCAAGGCAGGGCTCCCTGAGCGAGGGCCCAAGGTACACTTCTACCTGCACATCCAACCCGTGCTCCCGCCTGCACTTACGCCTGTGTTCTCGCCTGCACATGCACCTGTGTTCCTGCCTGCACTTCTGCCTGTGCTCCCGCCTGCACATGCACCTGTGTTCCCGCCTGCACTTCCGCCTGTGTTCCCGTCTGCACTTCCGCCTGTGCTCCCGCCTGCACTTCCGCCTGTGCTCCCGCCTGCACATGCACCTGTGCTCCCGCCTACACATGCACCTGTGTTCCCGCCTGCACATGCACCTGTGTTCCCGCCTGCACATGCACCTGTGCTCCCGCCTGCACTTCTGCCTGTGCTCCCGCCTGCACATGCACCTGTGTTCCCGCCTGCACTTCCACCTGTGTTCCCGTCTGCACTTCCGCCTGTGCTCCCGCCTGCACTTCCGCCTGTGCTCCCGCCTGCACATGCACCTGTGCTCCCGCCTACACATGCACCTGTGTTCCCGCCTGCACATGCACCTGTGCTCCCGCCTGCACATGCACCTGTGCTCCCGCCTGCACATGCACCTGTGTTCCCGCCTGCACTCCCCCCTGCAGGGCCACCGTACACCTGCTCCCTGTGTCTGGTGGTCTCCTGGCGCAGCTTGGAGACGTGGCCTGGGGGAAAGCCGTCTGTGTGGAGGACAGGTGGAGGGCTGGAGGGGGAGAGGAAGGCAGGCGTGGTTGTGCAGGACCTGTCCTGGCTCCCACCCCTGCCCCCTCCCCCGCGGGCAGGCACGGCTCCCTCCTGACTCTAGCAGCTGCTTTGCATTAGGTCCCAGACACCTCGGGTTACACAGGGGCCCAGACTGTGCTAGCTGCGTCCCTCACAGTGTAGCCGGTCACCTTCACGACCCCGGGCCTCGGCCGAGTGTCTCATTGGCCAGGTAGGGACACTGAGTGAGGCTGAAGTCACTTGTCGCACTGCTGGGAACTGAGCGGGAGCTCCAGCTCCAGTCTCTGTCTCCAGGACCCTTGCCCGTGCCACCTGCCACAGGGCCGGCTCCACCCCGCCGCCCCACCCCGCCCCCGCCCACCGCTCAGAGCTGCTCCTCGCCGCTCGTTGTTCTTGGGACTCGACAAAGCTTCCGAAAGCCTGGGTCCCCTAGGCAGGTGGCCCAGTGGCGAAACGGGATACCCCCCCGCACAGGGAATCTGTGCACTTCACAGTAAATGGTCAGGAAAAGAAAACCCTGAATCCCTTTTTGAGGCAGGGAGTTTGAGTTACAAGGTTCTCGTCGGCCCAGCCTCCCTGCCTGCCCCTGCCCGTCCCTGTAGCCGCACTGGTCCTTCCGCGCAGGGTGGGGCGTGACAGAGAGGTGGGCCTGAGATGGAGGGGCATTGAAAGTGGCGTCCTCGCCAGCGAGCGAGCGTGCACTGCGCATCCTTGAAGGAACCCTGAGCCCAGTTTGGGGGCGCCCTCTGGTGGTGGGAGAACTCACGGGGCCATGGGTCCGGGCAGCACACAACATGGACAGAGCCAGCGTGGGCCCATGGGCTGCCCCGGGCATGTGCATTCACCTGCCCGCCGTGCACGCCTCTGATCACCAGGGGCTCGGTGCGCTGGACAGTCCCCTGCCAGGCCTTGTCCTTGCTCCTGCCCCAGGAGCTCTGGGGACACCTCAAGGCGCCCGGCCTTGTTCCTGTCCTTCCCGGCCGCTGCCAGCTGCCCCGCCGTCCCCGGGCCACGGCAGCTTGGAGGTGGACGTGCGTCCCTCCCAGTGCGGGGCCCTTGGGGACAGTCTGGGCCCCTGTGTTCAGATCGTAGATGTCTGCTTCCTCGTTTGGAGGGCGAAGAACCTTGTCCCAGGGCAGTCGGACCTTGGGGAGGACCCACGTGGGTCCAGGAGGGAGACCTGCAGGCAGGTTTGGGGAAGGGGCGTCATCTTGAGCTGCTTCCGCCGCCTGCCTGTTCTCTCCTCCTCCAGGGAGCCCCTGCAGGGAGCTGGGCAGAGGTCCACGGACCCTGGGCGGTGCCGACCGGCCTGTGGGTGGGGCGCTTCGGGGTCAGGTCCCTCCCCCGGACCACAGGCGGCCACCTCTATCTGTAGCGGGGCTTAGAGCTGTTTCTCCGGTGGGCACCATGGAGGAGCGGCTCAGCAACGGGGGACTTTGGAAGGACAGGCGTGATAGTGGCAGGTCCAGGGCGGGGCCGGGTCCAAGTGAGCTCATCCACGTGTCTGTCTCTCCGCAGGCAGACAGCCCCTTCGGCTCAGCAAGCCCCTCCAAAGGCTTCTTCTCCAGGGGCGCCCAGCACCGGCCCTCCAGCCCGGTGTCTGCTCCTGTACGGCCCAAGACCAGCCCCGGCTCTCCCAGAACCGTGTTCCCATTCTGCCACCAGGAGTCCCCGCCACGCTCCCCCCGCCGCATGAGCTTCAGCGGGATCTTCCGCTCCTCGTCCAAAGAGTCCTCCCCCACCTCCAACTCGTCTACCTCGCCGGGGGGCATCCGGTTCTTCTCCCGCTCCAGAAAAAGTAAGACATTGATGCTATTTTTCAGGTGGGTGCCGGGCTGCCGGGGACCTCCCTCTGGTCACTTGGCCATGGTGCCACCTGCGGGGGCAGCAAAGCTGGCCGGCAGCTGGCCGGTGGTGCTCAGTGCCTACATGCGTGTCCGTCCCCGGGAACAGTTCTCCCTCCGGAACAGTGTTGGTTTCCACTTGTTGGCCCCTCCCTATACAAACCCAACGGGTACGTGGGGGTGAACTGTAAATATCTGCCGCTCACGAGGCCTTGGCCTCCAGCCTTCTGTGAGAAGCGGCAGCGGTGTGAGGCCACGGTTTGTCCCCCGCCCGGCCCTTGCTCGGGTCTGCCGGTGGCCCCGGTGCCTATGGTCCCGCACCGGGAGATTGGAGTGCTCTCTTTCCGACCCACTGAGTGTGATGAAGACAGAGTTCTTTAGGATCCTAAATGTTTGTGATCTAAGTGCAGCCTAGTTTCAGCTGAGCACTGTTGGTAGATCGTGGTTGGAAATCTACCAGGGGAGCTCGGAAGTGGGCAGAGTTTATTTTCTTCTTTCCTGGGTCTCAGGGTTCTCCTCACTCTTCCTGATTCTTTCTGACGATATAGGAAGTTCCTGTTTGGGGAGATGGTGATTTGGAAAACGCCCTCAGGCAGCAGAGGTTTGCGGCGTCTGTTTTTACGCCCCGGCCGCGTCGGCACCGAGGCCTGCGGGTCAGTGCGCTGTGGCCGGGGAGGCCGGGCCTTAGCGCGCTAGAGTTAGAATGATCTCTGCGACGTGCAAGGAAAGGGCCGTTGTCTCTCTTCTTTCTTTCCTTTTCTTTTTTTAATGCTCACCCGAGTATATGGTTATGGATTTTTAAAGAGAGAGTAAGTAAGGGAGAGAAGGAGAGAAAAACATCGATGTGAGAGAGAAACATTGATCAATTGCTTCTTGCATGACCAGGGATCGAACCCGCAACCCTTGGTATACGGGATGACGCTCCAGCCAACTGAGCCACCCTGCCAGGGCTCTTTGTTGTTTTGTATTTTTGGGTGGTGGGGGGTATCGTTCCTAGTACCGCTGAAGTCACCCCCCACGATGACTGAAGTATAAACGCACAAATGTCCCAGACGCAGTCCCCGTGGAGCTGGGGACCGCCCATAAGAAGCCTCTTGCCTAATGTTCTGAGCTCGAGGGAGCATCCCCGGCTTCCTCAACAGGGACCCCGAAATTCCCCGATACTCCATCACGTACCGCCTCTCAGAGGAGGTGGTGTCAGACCAGCTTGACACCAGGGTGTCCTGTTTCTTCAAAGGCAGCATCATGCCTGTGTTGGGCACAACAGAACGAGGTTTCCTGGGGCCGCCATGGCAACATACCCCAGACCGGGGGCTTGAACCGCGGAGACATGCTCCCTCACAGTTCCAGAGGCCGGAAGTTCCACCTCACAGCCCTGCTCGGCGCGGCTCAGGGGGTTGGAGCATCACCCCACGAGCCGGAGAGTCATGGGTTCCATTCCCGGCCAGGTCACCCGCCTGGGCTGCGGGTTCAGTCCCTGATCCAGGCGCGTACAAGAGGCAGCAGTCGGTGTTTCTTGCCTCTCCCTCCCTCCCTTCCCTCTGATGTGACCTCGGGTGAGGATTTAAAAAAAAAAACGGTGTCAGGAGGGTCTTGCTGCCTCTGAAGAGTCTGAAGGGTCTGGAAGAGAATCTGTTCTGTGCCGTTCTGTTCCGTTCTGGTGTTGCCAGGAGTCCCTGCTACCTCTGCCTCTCATCACACGGTGGTGTCCCTTTGTATATGCCGGTGTCTGTGTGCTTCTCTCCTTCTCTTACAAGGACAGCAGTGACGATGGAGTAACACTAGTGCGGGAGCGTATCTTAATTCATGACATTGGCAACAACCCTATTTCCAGATAAGCCACGTTCTGGGGTTCCCGGGGAGACCCGAATCTGGGGAGGACTCTGCAGCCCAGCTCCCGGGTTAGGAGGAGCCGCGGTCTGCCGTTCCCATCGCTGCCGGGGCGCAGAGGGCTGGTGGGCCCAGGGCGGCCGGCCGTCGAGGGCCTGGGCCATCTCTGATGGCAGGAGGGGGCAGAGAAGACACGGGGTGCGGTGGTCTGGGGGGCCCACAGCTGGGACGTGGGGCCCACAGGTGGGACATTGGGGCACGAACATGAGCCCAACTCTGTTCCCGGGAAACAGCCACCTGTGCTACTCCTTTCTGTTCAGGGTTTTGAAAGGATCGTCAATGTCCTTGGCCAGAAAACACCCAGTTTCAACGATTTGTCTCTTAAGGGGCTTTGGATTAGGTGTGGGCGGTTGGTAAGGTTCTCCTCTGCCTCCTGGGGAGGCAGCTGTAGGCAGGGCTCCGGAAGGCTCTGGAATGACTGGCAGCTCGTCACGGCGAGCGTTGCTTAGGCCCACGCTGGTACCCTTGACCCACAGAGCCCAAGACCTGGACTTGCCCTAGACGGGGAACCAACGCTGCCCAGCCCTGTGGTGGATGATGGGGGAAGGTCTAGGCCTGTGTCCCGCTGGAGCATGCCCACCGTCCCTGGGGGCGGGGGGTGGGCACTGGGCTCCTGGCCCCTTGATTCTGTAATCGTGCGCGACCTCGGCCTGCGTGGAGGGCACGCAGTCTTCCTGCTCTTCCTCGACTTCAGCCAGTTCCTGGGTTGAGGTGCCAGACCATCTATAGCTCCCCACTGCCCAAACGAATTCTGCAAAACCGAGCTTCACCGTAATGCCGGCTGCCTGGAAGGAGGGACTCTATGAGAAACAGCCCACGACCCACTGTGCCCACTGCGGGGACGATGTGAAGACCCTGTTTGTTACATGAGGCCCCGGGGAGAGCACCGTCCGGCCTGGGCACCAGGACTAGCCAGACTTCCGAGCCCTGGGGCTGCTTTGTCTCCAGCGGACGCTGCCAGGAAACAGGTTTCACAGTTGGTGTGGCTGCTAGGAATCTCAGCCCAGTCTGTGCACGGGGCCACGCAGGGTGCGCCGGTAGCCTTATTTCTGAGTTCATTTTCGGTCCCTTTTACTTTCGTGCCACTTTTTTCCCCCCCTAAACAAGAAAGCCAATTTTGTGGGAGGGTTTGGGGGTATTTACAGAATTCAAAGGAGAACTGACCCCTTGGGATCCAGGAAGGGGGGGAGGAGCCCGGCGGACCCGGGGGCCTTGGCAGCAAGAATCCATGGCTCTTTCCATGAGGTTCCGAGAATTCCTTGCCTGTGTTGCTCCTGGTACTGCTTTACGTTCCTCATCAGAGGGCGTGTGATGGGCCACCTCGGGTCCCTGGAGCGACCCGCGTTCAAGAAGCGTTTAATTTCATGTTATGAAACATTCCCTCGTCATTGACAATAGTTACAGTATTGTAAAGAGTGTACCAAATAATCATCAATCATTATAAATGCTTACCACGTGCATTGTCATTGTGTTATATGTGATGATTTTTTAAAATCTTCATGAAAACTCTATGCAGTAGTACGCTGACCATTTTCGTCCAAGTGGAAACTGAGGCACAGCTAGGGTATGGAGCGGAGGCCACACAGCTAGTCAGTGGTAGTACCGGGATTTGAACTCAGGCGGTCTGACTCCCGAATCTGCTTCTAACGCAGCTGAGGAAGCTCCGCTTTGAAGGACAGGATTTCTGGACTGTTAAGCCAGGGATTGGACAATTAAGTAACCATTTAGGGGCAAAAAAAAAAAAAAAATAGAGGTGATTCCTTGGTCATTTCTTATACCAAAATAACTCCCATAGGGAACAAAGCTTCCATGTTACTGGGTGGCGATCTTAATCTTGGGGGGTCGGCCTAGGTAAAGAATGCAAAAATCGGTTTGCGAGTCTGACATAAATGTCCACAGCCTTTCTCGCCATCCCTGGACGTTGGCAGGCCTGACCCTCGGCGCTTTGGCACGTGGCTCCATGGAGAGAAGAGCAGACAGAGTCGCTTTAGAAAATGCAGGGACTGCGGGGCAGGGCAGGGCGGGGCGGGGCAGAGGGCGCGGCGAGGAAGGGAGACTGAGAAGGTGGACGGGAGTTGGGGGCATGTGCAGAGCTTGGAGCGCGAGACTGAGCTGGAAGTCCGGTGACAGGGCTGAGAAGGACAGAGGGGCAGGGACAGCGGAGATAAAGGACACGTTTAAAGGAGTGTGACCGTGTTTGGAAAGTACAGGACCACCTTCAGCCCCCACGCTGCCCCCCTGAACGCGTCCCCGAGAGCACCCTGACGGGACCCGCGCTTTCGGCCGAAATGGAAGCTGTCTCCCCGCTGACATGCTTTCTCTCTGCAAGAAACACGTCCATCACCAGGCGGCTCCTGCCCTCCACCTCCCGCCAAGGTTGGCGTGGGTCCCCCTCCGCCTGGCGAGGGAAGATGCGCCGACCCCACCAGCCTCCCAACAGGCCCTTGAGCACCCCACTGTCTTCTCCACGTCAGCTGCTCGGAGACCTGTCCCTGCTCGGACCAGCCAGGTCCCCCTCCATCCTGCCGCCCCGCCTTCTAGCCCGGGCGGGGCAGGGCCTCCTGGGCTTGGGGTCTCCGTGAATTCTCTCCAGGTTCTTTCTCCTTCTTTCCACTTTGCCTCCCAAGAGCCAAGTAGGGCCACGAGGTGCTGGAGGACACGCTGCTTGTCCTGAAGATCCTAGGAGTTGTCGCCTGGGTTGTAAATGCGTTGACAAGGCACGAACCAGCCCTGAGGCACCAGCTGTCCTAGTCTCTGTCCCTTATCGTCATACCCTCATGGCCATCCAAGCTGGGTTGCTACTCAAAATACCTGCCGGCCAGGAAGGCCCGGCCCCCGGTCCCTGGGGACAGAAGGGTCTGGTTGGCACCAGAGGCACCTTGTCCTGGAGGCGGCCTTTCGGGGTAAGTGTGTTGCCGGATGTGGGCTTGCTGGACGTCCCAGGTGGGGCGGTTGGAGGCCTCTGGGCCGTGGCTGTCCCCTGGCCGAATCAGAAGCAGGTCAGTCTTTGTAGCTGGCCCGGTCGTCCTGGCACACTGCCCGCTGGGTGCTGGCCTTCCTCGCG